TTTTTTTTTGAGACAGGCTTTCACTCTGTTAACCAGGCTGAAGTGCAGTGACACAAACACGGTTCACTGCAGCCTTGACCTCCTGAGGTGGGGTGATCCTCCCAAGTAATTAGGACTACAGCTGTGCACCATCATGCTCAGCTTATTTTTTAGTTTTTTGTAAAGACAGGGTCTCACCATGTTGCCTAAGCTGGTCTTGAACTCCTTGGCTCAAGCAATCCTCCTGCCTCAGCTTCCCAAAGTGCTCAGATTACAGATGTGAGCCACCAAACCCTGCACAAAAATACTACCCACACTTATAGGAAAAAATAAAGGCATAAAAAAATTGCTGTATTTGGATTAATAAAAAAGGTCTTAAATAAGATTTTCTTCCATTTAAATTATTATGAAGAATCAGTTACCCTTAGTAATTCATCAAGGCAATGGGACAAAGGTCAAAAGGATGGGGTAAAGAAAAGGGTTTACTCCTGTCTCCCCACCTTTCCTCCTTCTTGGTCATAATCAATCCAATCAGTACTAAACATCCCTTTTACACCTGAATTAGTGAATTTCTTAAGGCCAAGGTCTACATGTAATCATTTTTTCATCCCCAGTGCCCAGGGTCTTTATTAAAAGGCAAATGAGAATCCAAGATCTCTATTCAATAAAAATGAAAAGTACAAATGAGACAATACTTGCCTTTATGGGACTATGTGATAGGAAAGACAATCATAAACATATAACTTCAATGCATTATGGTACAAGCTTTAACATATGATATAATGGAGACATAAAAGGAGAAAATGCTCAGTTCAACTCAGGGATTCACGTAAAGGTTTATGGGGAACAGCGGCATTCTGAAGGATGCATACGAATTTTCCAGGTCAATAAATGAAGGAAGGGCATATTAAGTAGGACAAAGATACAGAGAAATAAAATAGCATGGTAAATAAAATGTACATATAAGTCAACTAGAAATCTTATTAAAATGCAAACTGATTCAGTAAGTCTAGGATAGGGCCTGAGATTCTGTATTTGCACAAGCTCCCAGGTGGTGCCAATGCTGCTTGTCCAGAGATCACAGTTTAAGTAGCAAGGAGTTAGAGCATCTATTAACAGCTCTGTATACCTGGAACATACGGTGGGAAAAAGGTAACATCAGAATTTGAAGATTAACCAAAAGATGGTAAACTGTTTGACTACTAGAAATACCTCAGCTTAACAGAACCCATTCTGCCTTAATAAGCAATAACATAATTTTCAGGAATTCTAAAAATTAGATTCACATCATGAAACTATCATAACTAATGAAGGAATGAGAAATACAAAGGAAGTCTGAAGTAAGAAGATAGAGGGAAAGTATTAAACAGAACACAGATTCTCCAAAAACAAAAGGAAAACAATGAGTGTATCTAATTTTTTTATGTTATAGTAAGTCTAAAGTTATACACAAATCAAATTGATACATTTTTACTTACAAAATCATCTTCACCTTCAGCTAAACCATAATTAGGCAACATAGCTCCCTCCATTGTGGTACTTTTGAATACTCCTTTAATTTTGCTGCCTATTCTGCTGATTCCAAATGATTCTCCCCTTTTCTGTGTGTTCCTGAATATTAAACAAAAATGTATCAAGTACATAGCAAATCATCACAACAGTCTAGCTTATTGTAAACCATTATTTAAAAAAAAGAAAAATAGTTTTAAAAATGTAAACTAAAGGTATAGCTAACATAAGTTCTGGAGTTTTCATCCATGGATTAAGTATCAACATCTCAGAAGCCAAAAATGACACAGTATTTAAAGTTTAAATTTGTTAGATGAATAAATGTGACAATAATTTATAAACACTCAAAATTTACCTATATTAACTTCAAAATATTAACGGGATTAAAATTTTTAAAAGATGAGAGCCCCCTAGTGGAATATTGTTCTTATTGCGATATTTTGAAATAGAAAAATGCCTAAGATCTGTTCAAAACCGAAAACATCCCTTTAGAGTAACTGTACTAAAATAATGCAACAGAAAAAAAAAAACATTAAGATATTACTTTCTCAGTGCTTCATTTTCAAAGACAACTTTAAAAAAAAACTGTCTATGACAAACGTTAAAGCAAAATTCAACTTTATATAATCATACAAATACTCAAAGAAGGCATGAGGTACAAAATGGATCTTAAATTATTTAACTTCAAAGTAAGAAAAAGAATAGTGCCAAAGAGAAAGGTTAGCAATGAGAATAGGGATAAAAGCAAATGTAGCCCTAGGAAGCAGTCTGCTCTGCCATAAATATTAAATGTTAGTTTTGCAATTTTTTTTAAGCTGAATTTCTGAAAGCAGAAATAGTTGGAAAGCAACAAAATAAATAAGCTAAAAGTAGCAAAAATGTCTGTTAGCCTACTGCCCAATGTTTCAGCAATTAAAACCATAATTTTTATCCAATTTAAAAGTCATGCTCAAGGCTGGGTACAGTGGCTCACACCTGTAACCCCAGCACTTTGGGAGTCCAAGGCAGGCAGACTTCCTGAGGTCAGGAGTTCGAGACCAGCCTGGCCAACATGGCAAAACCCTGTCTCTACTAAAAACACAAAAATTAGCCAGGCGTGGTGGTGGGCACCTGTCATCCCAGCTACCAGGAAGGCTGATACAGGAGAATCACTGGGACCTGGGAGGCAGAGGTTATAGTAGCTGAGAATGCACCACTGCACTCCAGTTTTAAATCCTCAAGTGTATAGCTATTACTCCTATGAGGAAATTTTAAATTATCTACTGAAATAATACAATTAAAGAAAGCAAATTAATGAAGTTTTAAACATACCAATATGCAGTAATGTGTAGTTTACACATGCCCAAGAAGTAAATCAAACTTCTGAAAAAACACTAATAATAAGCAGTAAGCAGTAAAAGGGGTACTTAAACTAGATTATTCTATTTTTTAAAACATACAATTAGGTTTTTTTAAATCCAGAATTGTAGACACAATTGTCCTTGATTTTAAAAAATGCTTCCCAAAACACAAAAATGTTAACAAAATATTTTTAAAATCTCTAGAATCTAGATAATTTATTCTAGTCTCTACAACATGGAAATTATAAAACAATGGTAGTTGTTGAAATATGAAATTTTAAAACTCTCACTTGTGATTATGCCCAGAAATACAAAAACATCATTATACTTCTTACTAAAAAAAAAAGTCATTTAAACATAAATAATTCTAAAACTAATTTAGTAAAATCAACAAGAAAAACAAAATTGAGTCAGCCTTAAAAAACAAGATACTGGCAAATTAAATAATGAAAATATCTTTAAAGTATCAGGACATTTTTATTTTATAATGACATATCATGCTATATCAAAAAGGAGATATCTAGAATCAAAGTAGGTATTCATTTTAAAAGATTACCCTGAATAACTAGGATATAATGGCAGTTAATACCAGTGTTTCATTTTTTTCTTTTTTATTTGTATTAGGTTGTTCACAATGTACTTTCTAAAAACATTTAATAATGAAAAGAATCACATGCTCAAGACTTACCGAAAATCATCCAAACTTAGGCTACCTCTGCAATAACAGATATGTGAAATTATATAAAAAGAGGAGAGAAAGAAAGCCCAGATATTATATAAACTTCAATTTAGAACACAAAACAAAATTTAAAAGCTTCAGAAGTTACACAGGTGTATAACATTCATCTTTGCAAAGGGAAGAAATCCTCATGAATACGGTGATAAAGGTAAGAGAAATAAATGCGCATAGTTGTCTTTTGTGTTTGGAAATTTATATACTAAAAACCGTTCTTAAAAATTAAATATGTTATAATCTTGGGTGACATGGAAAAAAATTAGATATGTCAGGAAAAAACTTTTTTCTGGATTATTAAAAAATGTTCTTAGAAATTAAATATCCAGAAATAATTCTATGTTTTCTTTGTCCTTAGGCATACCATTTCTTTCACACAGTGGAAAGTATAAAGAGACTGAGTCACCAAATACCTGACACACACACACAAAAAAATTCATATTTTCCAGCATGAAATTTGTGTCCATATTAGATATAATCACTTATGCTTCTTCACATTTTAGCTTGAGTAAAAAAATATGTTTCACCACATGTTCTCACCCATAAGTGAGTGTTGAACAATGAGAACACATGGACACAGGGAACGGAACATCACACAGTGGGGTCTGTTAGGGGATGCGGGGCTAGGGAAGGGATAGCAGGGAGTGGAGAGATTCAGGAGAGATATCATTAGGAGGAATGCCTAATGTAGAAGACAGGGGGATGGAGGCAGCAAACCACCATGGCATGTGTGTATCTATGTAACAGTCCTGCAAGATCTGCACATATACCCAAGAACTTCAAGAAAAACAAACAAATAAATAAATAAATATATGTTTTAAGCTAAGAACCACAGTTAACAAATGATCTCTAAATATTAAAAAATAAAAGTTGTACTTTGAGTGTACAATGAAACAGAGAATGTAATAAACATGCATTAGAATTTTACTTTGAAAATATAAAATGTAGATATAAAGTATATGAATACTTTATATATTTTAAGACATTTAATAGCAAATTAACAAAATTATTCTAAATTTCCAATGAAATAATGTTAAGAAACTCTTTTAACGTATTAGACATAGGTAAACAAATCATTAAGTATCACAAAAGCAAGACTGATAGTTACTATTAGAGTCAGATTACCATAAAGAAAAACACACCTTAAAAAGTCATAATCAGTACCCAGAATGGAAAAAACCCATATAACCTGTCTTTTTAATATATTTTAAACGCAACAAAATTAGTGCCTTAACATGCTGAAAATAATCAACTGTTCTCAAAGCAGCAAAGAAAGATTTTCATCTCCCAAGTTATGACCCTGATTTAGATTTAGCTATCAAGCTAGTTTTTTTGTTTGTTTTCTTTGTTTTTTTTTTTTTTTTTTTTTTGGCGGCAGTGTCTTAATGCCCACGCTGGAGTACAGTGGTGCAGTCTCGGCTCACTGTAATCTCTGCCTCCTTGGGTTCATGTGAGTCACCTGCCTCAGCCTCCCATGTAGCTGGGATTACACATGTCTTCTACCACACTCAACTAATTTTTGTATTTTTAGTAGAGGCGGGGTTTCGCCACGTTGGCCAGGCTGGTCTTGAACTCCTGAACTCAAGTGATCCACCTGCCGAAGCCTCCCAAAGTGCTGGGATTACAGGCATGAGCCACCATGCCCGGCCAGCTACCAAGCAGGCTTTTAAGATCACAGAACCAATTCCCCTTAAATGGTCCTAGAAAAAGGCCCATTTATCCTGGTATCTGTATCCTGGTATGAGACTCCAAACATCGAAGGATAAATTCTACCTGCTTCTGAACTATGTCAGCAAATTTGATGAAACTCCTTGGGAAAGTATTCAAATGCAAGAGGCATGTGGCCTGAGCAAACAATGCTATTTTAAATAGCATAAATATGATTTTTGTTAAATATAGTCTATATTTCATGGTTATAACACATAAATTTTTAGGAAAAAGCAAAAAAGAGGTATTTTTACAGATAACCCTAAAGGTATTTTCTACCTTTCAGAAAAGTTATTACATGTATACTACACATTTAATGCCTCTACTGAGGCATTAAATCAGAATTAATATTCAATGGTCAAAAAAAAAAAAACATTTATTCTTGTAACGCTTATGTCAAGAAATACAATATATTCTCCTCATGGTAAAGTTTTCACATTTTTCTTTGTAGTAACTATCTAAAACACTGTCCCATTTCTTGACTTATCTACTATTCTCTTTGTAGTATAATATATCCAGTTTATTTGTATGTTTATTAGATACTTGCTCAAATTGGAAGGTGTTGAGATGTCTGTCAATTTTGTACACATAAGGTAAGTGAAATGAAATGATTCATTTACCTTATATATAGTAAATTAAAAGAGTTTCTTAACATTCTTTTTTTTTTTTTGAGACAGAGTCACCCAGACTGGAGGGCAGTGGTGCAATCTCAGTTCACTGCAACCTCCGCCTCCCAGGCTCAAACAATTTTTCTGCTTCGGCCAGGCTGGTCTCAAACTCCTGACCTCAAGTGATCCACCCACCTCAGCCTCACAAAGTGCTGGTATTACAGGTATGAGACACTGTGCCTGGCCATTAACATTTTTTCATTGGAAATTTAGAAAAGCTTTGTTGATTTGCTATTAAGTAACTTAAAATATATATTTATTCATATATTTTATGTGTATACTTCATTATTGGAAGGTGTGTCAATTTTGTACATGTAACCTTGCAAAGACAATTCAGAACATTATCCAGTTTATAAATGGATAAAGCTTTTTTCTTCTATTACCTTTCTTTAGATGATTTAACTATACACTTAGATTTCCAGAGAGCCAAAAAAAGGTAAGAAAGAAACATCCCTCCACTTTTGTACCCTGTAAGCACTCTAACAAGAAGTTTCCTCTAAAACAAAAACTGTCTAAATTCTGAGTTATCTGTGGATGCCACTTATGCATGCTCTAGTCTCCAATAAGGCAGGTATACAAAAACTAATATATATTAATCATGAGATTAACAAGGCCACATTATATATCTTGTTAAATTTTTCTAAAAGAATTTTAGGCATTTTCAGATCACTATATATAACACAGTTCCACGATTCACTAGTAAAATCCCTTGTCTACTCATATAACAATGGAACCACATACTCATTCAGAAAAATAGCTAATAAAGACAATGATGCTATCATAGAATGATTAGCAACAGCAAGTTCTAAAACAAAGCATACAACCTACCTGTTGAATTTTGAATTGCGTGTTGGTGATTCTGCACCTCTTAAAAGTTGTCTAAAATACTTTAAAATAATAAATAATAATTATCATTTATTATAATTAACATTAAAACATGCTACCTTAGCTTACTACTTTCCAGTTTTGGAAAAAAAGCTATCTCAATCAAGGGAATACAGACATGGTCAAATAGGGTAAGGATGAAAATACTGCAAATGCAGATGACAGCCACAGTTTTGTAAATAATGTGTATACAATGAGATTTCTGCATCACTGCAATACTACAAAGCCACTCAGGCATATAGCAAATCAGGCAGACCTATTTGATCCTAATCTATCTATTCACATAAATACAAACAGATTTTGGTATTGATAATTGTTTCTACAATTATTTTTTAATCTTCACTTAATTACATAGTAGAAAAGAATATCCACTTTCTTAATCTTGGTTTTTTTGTTTTGTTTTGTTTTTTACTGAGACTGAGTCTTGCTCTCTTGCCCAGGCTCAAATGCAGTGGTATGCTCTCAGCTCACTGCAACTTCACCCTTTTGGATTCAGGCTATTCTCCTGCCTCAACCTCTTGAGTAACTGAGATTGCAGGCACGTGCCACCATACCCAGCTAATTTTTTGTATTTTTAGTAGAGACAGGGTTTCACCATGTTGGCCAGGTTGGTCTTGAATGCCTGAACTCAAGTGATTCACCTGTTTCAGCCTTCCAAAGTGCTGGGATTAGGCCGGGCGCAGTGGCTCATGCCTGTAATCCCAGCACTTTGGGAGGCCGAGGTGGGCAGATCACGAGGTCAAGAGATTGAGACCAAAGTGCTGGGATTATAGGCATGATCCACCACGCTCAGAAATCTTGTTTTATTTTTCTATTTTATTTTGTTATTTGAATCACTCATCTAATGATATCAGAGCTACTAATAAATTCTATATAAAAATCCTCAAATAAGGCCAGGCGTGGTGGCTCAGTGAGCCTGTAATTCCAGCACTTTGGGAGGTAGAGGCTGGCAGATCACGAGGTCAGGAGTTTGAGACCAGCCTGGCCAATATGGTGAAACCTCATCTCTACTAAAAATACAAAAATTAGCTGCGCATGGTTGCATATACCTGTAGTCCCAACTACTCAAGAGGCTGTGGCAGGAGAATCACTTGAACTCAGGAGGCAGAGGTTGCAGTGAGCTGAGATCATGCCATTGCACTCCAGCCTGGGCCACAGAGTGAGACTCCATCCCCACACCCCCACCCCCCAAAAAAACATTCTCAAACAAGGTGAATAGTTTGACTTACCTCATCACTATGGCAGAACATAGGGGTAAATACATTCTCCAAGAGGGAAAGAACATGTTCATATGCTTCAAAAAGACATCTCATAGTTTGAAGTTTCACAACATCTATGTATGGCCCTTCAGCAACTATTAAAAAAATTCTATTTTAGAAATTATTTATAAATAGCATAAATGTATGTTAATTTAAAAGTCACTATAGTGAAGAGCATACAGTTCTAAAACTGTGTTTTACTGAAACTCCACTGTAAGAAATATACTAGAATGAGAAATTACATCAAACAAGGTCTAGTTCTGACAAACATGTGAAGTATGAATACGTTTTTTTCTTCAAAACTTTCATCTCATTAGTAAAAGAGAATAATAGCTGCCCATGTACTGCACATAACCACTGCAATAATAAACAGAATAAATGGGAAAACTCTGAAAACTGTTGAAGTGCTAAGTAATTCATTCTCATCATCTTTGACTTACTTCTTTGAATCTCTTCTACAATGAAGGGATCAAATCTAATTTTGTCAATACTTTCATCCAAACAGTATGTTTTATAAATCTTCTGCAATTCTTCATGAAGAGACAGCATTTCATCATTTGATAATTCTGGTCGTAAAATTCTATCATTAAATTCCTCTAACAAATGAGGAAAATAAGAAAAAATAATTTTAATATAAAACTATTCATGAAAACCTCACAGTCCCATTCTAATTGCAGCCAATACTAAAAGCAGCAATTAGAAGCAATCTAATTCATCTAAGTTTTTAAAAAATTTTTGAGAGTAAAATAACTACTCAATAAGAGAAATGCAATCAACCAATTTTTATAGATTAATAGAAAATATGTAAATACATAAAAAGCAATACAAATCTGCAAAAATTCAGAACACTAAACACACTTCTAATAGTTTCCTTAAAGACCAATAATTTATGATACCAAAAGTCTTTTATTATTTCAAAATCTGTTATACTAAATAAAAATAAAAATGATGACTTTAGTTCCAATCAATGTTTGTAAACAATATTTTTCTCCACCATGAACGCTGCAAACTAGTGGCAGAAGTGACAGCTTGAACAAATGAATGTTTATTCAAAAATAAAAGATGGTAGTATTAGGATAGCCAAAATACCAATTGTTTTTGCTTTTTATTCCAAGCTGTTATAATAAGGAGTTTACCTTTTACTTCTTAATCATTCAAACTGAAACATAAAGTGGAAAAAAGGGATTAAAAAAAAACTGAAACACAGCATATAAGCATATAACATTTGTGAGGCAATAGAATACAACTGTCATTCCTGTATGACTTAATATGCATATAACTGGAGTTGTAAAAGAAGAGAAAATGGGGCAGAATATTTGAAAAGAGAGCCAGGAATTTTCAAAATTGATTAAAGGTCAGGTGTGGTGTCTTATGCCTATAATTCCAGCACTTCGAGAGGCTGAGGCCAGAGGATCGCCTGAGCCCAGATGTTCAAGACCAGCCTGGGCAACATAGAGACCATGTCTCTACAAAGAAATTAGCCAGGCATGATGGTGTTCACCTGTAGTCCCAACTACTTTCAAGGCTGAGGCAAGAGGATTATTTGAGCTCAGGAAGTTGAGGTTGTATTTTATGAGCCATGATCATGCCATCTTTTCAAACAGACAAAAGCTAAGAAAATTTATCTCCAGCGTATTTGTACTATAATAACTATGAAAAAGATTTCTTTCAGCAGAAAGAAACAGTATTAGAAACCTGGTTCTACAAATATAAATTAAGAATACTGGGACAGTAAATACGCCAATAATTATAAGGACCTTTAAAAATGAATGTGTGTGTGCATTCCACACGTGTGTAGATTTCTGATGACTATTTAATGAAGAAACAATGTACTGTGGGTTTACAGCCCATGCAGAATTAAAATAAATAACAAAAGGAGCACAATAGGCAGGACGGGATGATCTGAGGTACACTGAGGTTCTTACATTGCTCCTGAAGCAGTAAAATATTTTTAAATTGATTCTATGATAAATGAAAGAAACATATTATAATCTCTAATCAAAGATTTTAAAAAAAGCCAGAACAGGCTTGAAAAGTCAATAGGAGAGATAAAACAAAATACTAAAAAAATTTCAAGAAAGTCAACAAAGGAGGGAAAAAAAAAGCAAAGAATATACAGGACAAATATAAAACAAACACCAAGATGGAAACCCTAACAATAAACATATAATAAATATATCAAGTGTAAATGTACTATAGATACCAATTAAAAAGCAAAGATGAGTTAGTTTTTTTTTTTTTTAAAGCAAGAGCAGCTACATGCTGCTTACTAGAAATACATTAAACATTTCAATCAGATAGAAAAAGATATACAAATGCACACCTAAGTATAAAGAAAGATGATGTGGCCATATTAACATCAGACAAAGTAGACTTCAAGACTGAAAATTAACAGATACAGGAGAGAAGCATTTTATAATGATAAAAGGATAAAGTTATTACGAAGATACAACAATCTTAAATGTGTGTGCACCTAGTAATAAAGTTTAAAAGATATATGTATTCATACAACGGAATATCACTCAGCAAAGAACAAACTACATATTTATTCATCTATTTTTAAGAGAGAGTCTCACTCTGTCACCCCTGGATGGATGCAGTAGCATGGTCTCAGCTCACTGCAACCTCCACCTCCCAAGCTCAAGCGAGTCTCTTGCCTCAGCCTCCCAAGTACCTGGAATTATAGGCATGAGCCAACACGCCCAACTAATTTTTGTATTTCTGTCGAGACAGGTGATCACCGTTTTGCCCACGCTGGTCTGGAACTCCTGACCTCAAGTGATCCACCTACCTCAGCCTCCTGAAGTGCTGGGATCACAGGAATGAGCCACCATGCCTGGCCCAAATTACTTATTTAGACAAAAACATATATGAACCTTAAAAAGCATTATCCTGGCCGGGCGCGGTGGCTCAAGCCTGTAATCCCAGCACTGTGGGAGGCCGAGACGGGTGGATCACGAGGTCAAGAGATCGAGACCATCCTGGTCAACGTGGTGAAACCCCGTCTCTACTAAAAATACAAAAAATTAGCTGGGCATGGTGGCATGTGCCTGTAATCCCAGCGACTCAGGAGGCTGGGGCAGGAGAATTGCCTGAACCTGGGAGGCGGAGGTTGCGGTGAGCCGAGATCGCGCCAT